TTGAAAGCGCGTGTGTGCGCCGCCCGCTCATTTGCAAACCGTCTCCTGAGATAACGTCCTCTAGTCGGTTATCCCGTTCTTATTGCCTCCATCTTGCCTTGATTGCTGTGTGTGTCGAAAACTTTGGAGCTCTCTCACTGATGGAAATTGATTTTGTCGCTGAAAACGAAAAAGTTACAGTACGACTTATTTAGAGGCGTGTTGTTAAGTCCATGTGATACAGTAAAACAGTATTACGGGTCTTCGACTGTTTTATGTTCACGACTTGATTCAAAACGTTCTTTAAATAATTAAAAAGTAATCGTGAGTGAGAGCAAGAAGCGGAGAACTATTCTAAATAAGTAATCGGAGGGCGGTCGACGGCGCGCAGCGGCAACGGTGGAAAGTGAGCGACGGCGGGCAGCAGCGGCACTCACGTATGAACGTAATTATAAAAATTGAAGGCAACTTGAGACCCACTCCTTGGGTCTCTCCCTCGCTCCCGTCGCGTCGTGCATTTTTTCGTACATATTAAAGTCTCCGCCGCCCGCTGCCGCGTCACTTCACCCCGCGACTCCTCTTTTTAATCGATTTTCCCTACACAAGGGGTGAGTCCTCTGGGGTGAATGTAATTTTTTATGCTTTTTTTTCGAAGGAGGAGACCGTCGCCTGAGGTGCCATTACGCCACGGCTTGTTGAGAATATTTTAATTATAAAGCATTAGTGCGTTTTATGATACCAGTCCCGCTCGAATTTATAAACGATCGAGAGCTAAAGTAATTAAATATTTGGATGTGGCGAGATTTCCACCGGGAGTTGGAGGAACTGGGATAATGGACGTGGAAGCGTCCGTTCGCGCGTTAATATGATGGATATAAAATTCGATGAAATTATTGGTTAATGGCCGTTAGATTCGCCTCAGACTTGAAATGGTATTTCAGCTTTTTCTCGTTAAAATCACCTTTATTTAGTAAAGTTAACCTTATTTTTCGTAAAAACGTAAAATTAAAGTATATGTTTTCGTTAAGGTACTCGTATTCAGTTGTAATAAATGTTGTTTGTATCCTGTTAGCTAAGATAGGCCGGTGGCTGATTGATGACGGAATTCAGTCAGTTCGAGGGCTCTCTATTTTCCTTTGTCCAACGATTATCGCGTTAGATTGCAAGACACTTTGTTAGTTTAGCAAAAAAAAGATTATTCAACTGTTCCAATTTTAGATAGCATCAGTTCTCTTTTTATTATTTAACTACGAGTCAAGTTTATCATCTGAAAAAAAAGTTGTATCGCTGTTCTGACGTACTTCCAAGACAGGCACAATATTGTTTACTATGAAAATAATAAAATACCTATACTTCAAATTATAAACCTCTTAGAAGTAAGTATTCATCCTTCTAATATGCTGTTATGAATACGGCCATAAAACCTTACAAGATAAATACATCTTCTGTCTATTTACTAAACCACCACACATTGAGTAATCGCTTCCGTTATTTTTTTAAACTGTCAACTTCACATCGGAATTGTCATATCTAACAGCTGACAACTGTCCTGTCTGTAAAAGACCAAATAACAACCAGTTCATTCACCGATAGTCTATCAACATTTTACTCTGTACACGTACTTTATTATTAATTTTTTAACACCGTACATGTTTATAATCAACACAATTACACCATATAAGGTACACATGACGCCTAACGTATCAAGCCGTAAGGAACATGCCACTCAGTAATTCGATTACCGCAATAAGTAAACGCGGTAACAAAGCGGATTCGCGTATTTACACTGGTACTATGTCCATCGTAGAAAACGACTGACACCTAGGGTTTCTCGCCAAGCGACTTAGGAGGTGTTAGTGTGCCCATTTGTTGTGTAAGTGGGTTATAACAATACATTTTATAGGAGCAGAAAAATATTATGATTTCATGATATTATGAGTCTACCACGTCAAGTCTTTTAGAAAGATGGTATTTCTACTCAAATTAAATTAATAAAGACAAGCTCGTAAACCATTTCTATGCGACAAGTCTTGACATTTCTACACATCAGCCTCTCTGGACAGATGCAAATACCTATTAGAAATGGGATTCTTCAAATAATTGCGATGCACGAGATCAATCTCGTAGGAACAAACAAGGACTCAAGTTCACGTCTAAGGTCCGTTAGTCTAATTGCTCAGACATGCACGGACAGTGATGGGACGGCTGTCTGACTGTCCGCCTGTCCCGACTTCAGACGCTTTTAGAATACGTTGCTCCGATAATGTTTAGCTTATACTTTGTACGAAGATTGATTTGGTGATAGGGTCTTTATGTAAATTATAAGGCAGCTTTATTGAACTATCCCAAATGGGTAATAACTAGTCTAAGAGAGTCAATAAATATTCAACTTAGTTTTACTATATTTTACTTCAGTATGTTAGCTGGCAGGCCATTTTAATTGGTTAATATTGATCTAAATTGACGTTAATGTCAACAGTTAAAATGTTTATAAAATTGTATACGCCTTAACATAGTCCATTTACTATATAGATGATAGATTTAATGAGCATGTTACAAAAATATTTGTATGTCTAATTCTTAAACATTGCACTGATTCGCATCTTTTAATTCGCAGGCGTTGACAGTAACTTTTAAGCATTGTAAACACCCTTAAGGTTGATTTACAAACTGATTAGTTTGAATAAGAAATAAAAAAATATCCCACATTCTGTAAATTTTTAAAGAATCGAAACACTGTCTTTCTACAGCAAACAAATCGATAATCTGCGAATCGATTACTGCACGTGACAAGTTATACCCACATTTCTTGTTCTGTACTGATTACTCGTTTTATTAAATCAAATCAATCAAGTAGTTACTATCAAATCCATACAGACAGATATATGAATTAATTATTGTTACAAGCATTATCATTTTGCAAATCTGGCACTAGACCATGAGTACATTTTGATAAGTGCAAGTCAAAAGTAAAAAGTAGTCTGCGAGTATCTATCTATATCAATTTTTTTTATACCAATAGTATTCGAATTGATATCGATAATTGTTAAAAATAAAATAACATCAAAGCACATTATGTATGTTGATATAAATCATTAAATAATTTAAAATCCCGTGCCTCTTAAAATAAGTCTTAGTGTGCCGCGCTCAAAACCCAAGCTATTCTTACAAAAGTCTGCAGAATGGGTTTTATAATAGCATCCCTAATGAGATGTAAATGAGCCAAGAAATACTCGGCTCTGGCCGCGTTATAATAACGCGTAACGACCTACAAGTCCGGATTAAGAAGCCCTTTGACTTAAAGTTGCCCACTGGACCAAGTGCGCAGCCTAGCCGACCTTCCAGCCAACCGATAATTAACTTTTATACCAAACTCTTAAAGTACAATTTAGGTTGTCGCTACAATATCGTTAGGTGCGATGTGTGGTCGTGTTAGCAGCACAATAGTGTAGCTATTTTGAAACTAATTGGCAGAAAGGGTTGCGAATTAACTTCAAGGCCAACGTGTCACGCCTCTGCTTTGAACCACCGACTCTTGATAAATACAAATACTAGATTACAATTATAGTCAGAGGGATTGTATTTAATTGTGTGTTATCTACATCCTAACTAATCTATTATAAGTAATGGAGTTTTATAAAGCCAATAAACAATGATAATAATTAACAACTCAAAACGATAAGTAAATGTTTGTTTAACTAGACTAGAACATGTGTCAATACCAAGTACGTTCTTTCATTTACTCTGTCCCAGATTGTAACAAAAGTCAGTCACTCAATTAGCTCGTGAATTCCACTTGAGCCATGTACGGCATTCATTACCATTAGAAGGAGCATGACATACGTATGAGCAGTACCTAAGGCCTCATTACACGGAACACGACCGGCCAATCAGCCGAACGATTGTTAACAGTCTGATTGAAAGCTGCACGGTTTCGCACGGGCTTATTCAAGATAGCTGTGCGCGATTAAACCTTGTACCGCATCTCTGAAATGGGCACACTTAGATCGTCTGCTATAGAGATTTTAGGAGCGTTACAAATAGTACCTTCTTGTTACTTAAGTTGTTACTTGTTACTAGTAAAGTTTTTATAATGATAATAAAAGAACTCATGAATGAATGTTATACTACTCCCTGATTCACAATTATTGTACTTAATTGACAACAGAACTGCCTATCTAACCTACGTATCTAAATATTTCTCAATTAAGTATATTGTGGTATCAGTAAGGACGTAGTTATCTTTGAAGATACTTTTTACTAGTATATGAATATAAAATATAGTGAAAAGATGAAAAAAAATAATGTAATTCAGCTCATTGTGCATTGTGTTCAAGGTAGAGATCAACTTTAACTAACTTGCTGCTTGTTTGCTGATATAAAAGTCGCAACTGTGACTCGAAAGCTATGTATTATGCATTCGTGAATATAAGCTGCATAAAGTAGCGTTCGAATCAATTATAGAGGCGGGTCGGGCTCGTTAGAAACGCATCACGCATGTACAATCGCCTCGCAGTAAGGTAAACACTCTTTATCTGGTGCTAACCTATTGTAAACAATGGAGCTCCCAATTTGGGCTTGAGAGCTCCGACCGATCATGTTTTACTTTTCGTCTCTCAGATGCATTTGAATCGACTTTAACTTTATCTGTATACGAAAACAAATAAATCTATTGATAAATAATGTGGTCGGTAATATCGTACTTTCTGTTATTATTGCAAGGACGAAGTTGAAAAAACGTGTAAAATTGTTGTGGCAAGTGAAAGGTCAGTTCACGGCTACGGGCCGACCCTCGACCCTCGTTGTAAGTGGATTAACCCCTTTACAACGCGGCTGAGTGTCACGCGAGCGTGTGTCGACAAGACCGATATTTGATGTTCTTTGCTTTGCGAATTGCCAGTCCCCTACTGGTCAATTGATACACAGAAAACTGCAAGATACTATCTTTGTATTTTATTATTATGCGTAACTTTATACACTTATGTGATTAAATACGTATAACTTTTTTTTTGTTGTTATAGGACCCAGTGGAAGCCCAGCAGCACTGCAGCCTCAACCTCAGGGTTTAATAGTGGAGACCGGGAATGGCGCAAGCGTTCTACAGTTACCAGCGACAACGCTGGAGCAGATCCGACACATCGCAGCTGATCCTGGTGCATCCACACTGCGCCTGCCACCACCAGCTACTGAGGTGCCGCCTGGCGCTCGCGAGCTTGACTTTGACCTATGCTACGTGTGCAAGCATTGTAAAGTAGCTTTCCCATCACCAGCACCGCTACAGGCACACCAAACTCGTTCCTGCTATGCGGGCCGAGAGGCAGCGCGCGGTGTCATCCGCGTAGTGCAACCAGCTCTCGAGTGCCGCATCTGTCCCGGTGAACGTTTTCGGACCGCACTGGAGTTTCGGCGCCATGCGGATACCGAGCCCCATTTGCGTAATATAATGCCGCAGCAATCTCCTGTTGTCCCACCAGAGACTCTGACGCACGAGATGGAGGATGTAGTGAATCAAATCACGCTGCTGGCCGCTCGGGCTGCGCAAGAATCCGCGACGCCCAAAGACCCCAACGCTAATTTCTGCGCGCCCGGGCCACGCTTTCAGCATCCCGGTGAGCTTCCCCTAGCGAGCGCCGGACACTAATCCTACACTGAAGAAATGTATAGTTACTATCTATTAGAGCTACTCGCTCTCTCCGTTGTCCGACAACGCAGCAGTTCACTATTAGCTCTTAACGCTTCTTTTCGTTGATGAATGTCGCCGCGGAAGCGGCACTTTCCTAGTTATATTTAAAGCTTGTAGTCGTTTAAGTATAGGTTAATCGGGAGCCGACCGTTGTTATCCCGTTTTACATTAGTGTAATGAGCAACGTTCGAGGTGCCTCGGCAACGAGGTGGCTCGGCGTGAGCGCAAGCCACGGGTCGCGTGTTCCTACCGGCGGCTCCTGCGCCGCGCGCCGCACACTGGGGGGCGGCGGCGGCGACGCCGGTCCGGCCGCGCCGCGCAGCCGCACTTCATATCATACGTTAGACAGGTTTTATTATATACGTTTATCGTTGCGGCGGCGAGCGCCGCGGCCGAGCCGGTGCAGCTCACTTTTAACATCAACTCCCAGGAAAGCAAGTTCCTATCTTTATGGCATATAATATTATCGATATTGATAATTACGATTTAATTATTGTTTAAAGCTATGTAATACATACATATAATCGTTCTAATTTTAGGCATAGATACGTTCTCGTAAGAAGTTCCTGACGCATCGTAAATGTATGAAGATATATATAGTGATATACGTATATGATTTTTTTAAACATGAAGCGAAGTTAGGTACGTATGTTAGGCAGTAGAGCGGTCGTCCTCTCTCGCGGGTTCCACGCTCAGGAAACGGCGTGAACTCACGCAAACGCAACCCAAATGATATTGAAATACTTTTTGTATTTGGCACACGGCTTGTCGTTCGCACCGGCAAGGAGCTTCACGTTGAGCACGGTGATGTGACGTCACGAGCCGGAAATACGAACGCTTAGCAAGTGCAGGTCGCAGTGCGCACGCGCGAGCCAAGGCCGCGGCTGCCGCCGGTACCGCTCCGCGTCGCGCGCTTCTCGCCGAGCCGCCCGCGGAGACGCGACGACACCGCGTAGGCTTATTGGTAACAGTTAATTATAATAATGATTATCGTAGCAAACTTTTCCAAAACGAACGAACTCGAAACTCGGGCTGCGCGCTAGCGCACAGCCTACCTCGCAAACAAGTGAGTTTATTTTGGAACTAAGTGTGATTCTTGAATTTTTATTGATATTGTAATGATTATTAGTAGTGGCGTAAGTGAGTCCAATGTCCGAAGGCACGGGGGTGGGTGAGGCGCGAGCGGCGCCCGCGCGTGCGTGTGCATCCGCCACAAGCACCTTCGAATGCTTTGCCGTGTGCGTGGAGTCCCTAAAATTTTCGATGGCACAGATCACGTTATTAAAAATATTTTACATATTTACATTTTATCTAGCGGAGTGTACTACAATATTTTATCTACGAGTGAGTCCTACTACAACATTGAGTTTGTTTTTTTATAAAGTGCAATGTTTTATTCCACCGGTTGCCGGCGGTCCTTGTTATGTCTATACATAATGATATGTGTGCAATGAGTCGATGTTCGAGCGCGCCGGCTCACTCCCAGCTCGCGACTTCTCCCAGCGGCGTCTGGGTTTACGCGCCAAGGTTATTAAAGCAAATATTACATTTGAAATTGAAATGGATTTCTATATATTGATATTGGACTTAATCGAAAATATCGTCATAGATTACAGCGTAACTACAATTTGTTCGACCTTATTACGTCGAGCTCGAATCACAAGTATAATGAAGAGAGGAGTGAGGCCCGGCGCGTCCCAACACTGTGGTACGCGAAGGCGCGCGTCTATACAATACAATTATTTTGTTTGATTAGTGTTTAGTATTTATTGACGAACTCATAGTTTATTGTGCTCGGTTACGTTCAGAGCTCCACCGTGTGACGTCGGTTAGTTCCATAGGAGATAATATATTATTTTTATTCGGTTTGTAATCGGGAGTATATATGTACGTGTAAGTTTGGTTTAGTGTAGGTGGACATGTCGGTAGTGCGATGTTGTGTCTCCGCGGACGAGAGCCCGCGGAATGAATCATGGTTCCTATGTATATTTCAATATTATCGCATCTAGAGTTTCACTATACTTTCCGAATACAAATTTTAATATTTAAGATTAATTCGGACTAGTCTGTTGTATCTGCTACTAAAGGTGCCGCCACGGCCATGTTGTTTGTTTCTTTGTACATTACCTGCTTTATGTCTCATTCTATGTGTTTACTTTGATATTATTTTTTGTTAGGAGTAAAACATTTTGTGTAGCATTTTTAAGCCCCTAGATGTTGGTTACGAATATAAGTTTATCATCTTAAAAAGGTAGCATTCGTGTCTATCATAGTTCCTAATACTGTATTGTATAACTAAAATTATTTTAAAATTCTTTACTAGTGAAATATACCGTTCCTACTATTTTAAATCTGTGACGAAATGTTGAATGTATACACGAAAGAATCAAATTTCAATTTGTATTTTGTTGATATGTAACTATGAAATAATTTTAAAGTTTTGGGTACAGTGCGAAAAATTCTATATAGTTTTGAAGTACTGAATAAATTTTTATTGTATGCATGAGTTGTATAACAAAAAGGTTATGTCGGAACTTTCCCTTACTGTACCGCTATTGATGTTACTATTACTTTGTAATATAAGCATAACAAACACAATGTAAATGCAATTGTCGAACTGTCAACAAAATAGATGTTTTCGTAGCAGTTAGTTTATGTTTGTCCCGCATGACGTGTGCGTAGCCTTCTACGCGTGTGCTACGCGCCTACACCGCATGCCATCCGTAGCCAACAACAGATTACGAATACATTGTCAAGTGTAAATGGTAAAAATAAACTCAAAGTTAGTTTATCAGACACTGGAGTTTTATTTTAATATTTATAAATAATGTATAAGGTTTTTGGGATAATGCGAACATGCATTAATTAAGAAATGGAAAGTAAAAAAATTAAATAGGTGTACACTTAACCCTGTCTACACATTTACGAAATATTCTTTATTCGATTTCTTATATCAATTAAAATGCCAACCATGTTTTTGGAAAGATTTAATTTTCATTTTACTGAATGAAAATGCACAATTATGGACTACAGAGATAACTTTTATCAAAGCTTATTTTAAACTGAACAAATGCCGAAAGCAATTTATTTCAATTCTCCCATTCCTTATTTCCCTACATTTCATAAACAGATGTGTAGACAGCTATGTACGTTAGTGCAAAGCCCTAATATGTCGGCATTAAGAGATTATTTATATCGTATCTCTTTATCCTTGGCAACTCATTTACAGCAAGAGAACCCTGCAACAAGGAGCAATTATTTAGTTAGTCGGCAACAAAAAATTTACGATGATATCTGGACGCCAAAAAATATAAGCTGATATATCCTTGGGAGAGGCCTATGTCCAACAGTAGACGTCTTTCGGCTTAGATGATGATGATGGTATATCCAAGACTTGCCAATGCATTGGCCGTTTTTTAGTTAGACGCAGAACGATAAACATAACTTAGAGCACTAAACAAGCACTCAGCTCCTTTTATTAACTACATATATTAAATATTTTAAGTAGATAAAGAACAGGTTAATTAAAAGTAAGTATTACATTCACCCACAAGCCTATTGCTGTTACATGGACACTTTAAGGAAAAATAGTTAAATTGGGAGTATCTAGCACGAAAAAGATATTACTTAAACTTTTAAGCAAGAGGTCAATGTCGCAGGCATGTAACCCGAATCTGCTGTTGTTGGAAATCTGAGCTCTATAGCAGTAAGTAGTAAGTAAGTACAAGTCTGAAACAAAAACATAAGGCACATATAAGAGTATTGTGCCTCCACTAAATGATTGAAATATAAGAGTAAACTCGCAACCTTACCTTACCTACGAGACGACCTTCAAACTATAAATAAGGAGCGTACTCTTTCCTGAAAGCCCGGCAATGCGTTTGTGACTCCTGAATTGCAGACGTTCATGGGCGGTAGTCACTTTCTATCAGATGTCCCGTCTGCTCGTCTGGCACCTAAAAAATTGATCAATAGAAAAACCTGTCTTACAAACCAAAAATGTATTAATCTATCATTTTGTCCGTTTCATGTATGTTTGCATAGTCCCCTGCGACACAGGATGTTCCTAGTGCGGGAGTTGTCTTTAATAAATAATTTATATATCTATATATAGGCTGGCAACGCGCTGGTGACTCCTGAGTTGCAGTCGTTCATGGGCGGCGGTAGTCGCTTTCCATCAGGTGACTCGTCTGCTCGTTTGCCTCCTATTCCATAAATATATATATATATATACATATATATATGTATATTACCATAGGTATCATAGCTAGGGTACTTACGCAATATTAGTTTATGGAGAAGTTAAATAGGGTTTAAAGAAACAAAAATACAACTATCCATCTCCATAATTTAAAGAGTGGATGACTCTTTAATAACGAATGGTCATCGCAAGTTACTTTATAAAATTTTCCTTGCAAACTCAGTTGGCAAACGAACACAATCAATTTTTTTGTCATTTTACTTGTGGAAATCTTCGTGTGGTAGCTAAATAGGAACCGCCTATGTAACCACAGTAGCTTTTCAATGGGTAAACAAACACAAGACCTACCTTATACAACCGTATGTTACCCGTAATTGTATTATTATTATCCTATGGCATTATAACCCCCTCATGGCACCCTGCTGAATCCCTGACGGTTGCTACTCTAGTCGTATTTTCTATCGGCTTGTTTTGTGAGGTAAAGGTATTAGACTTATCAGGTTACTATAGTTCAATCAGCAAGCCGCAATATAATATTGAAATAACTAAGTACCATCATACCAGTAAAACTTTTTTTGCAGTATTTCATCCGTTTTATCAATTAGATACATACATAACCGTGAGGTGACCGCTTAAGAATACAAAAGTTCACCACCCCAATTCATCCTGTGGGTGTCGTAAGAGCTGACTTAACTACGCACGACAACAGCACTGCCCAGAGAAGGAAAACTTGAAACAAACCCTATACCAAACCGTCTGACCCACCTGAATTAAACGTTAGTATCGAGGACCAACATAACTCTTACGTCTCTGTAATAATACCAAACAATTTTCGCTCGTTTCTTTTATAATTTTATCACATATTTAAACAGTCATTACAAATTAATAGATTTAAAATTAGTTAGGCAAATATATATTTTTTTCCCAAATTTTGCATTTGGCCTTCATTTTTATGTTTATGGGCGGGTGCCCATAAATATAAAAATGATTTTAGCTAATTTAGGTTCATATTATTATTTTTTAACGGTAACCCTACCGGTTTCTGAGAAAATAATAATCATATGTACCTACCTAAATTAGCTAAAATTAGGTCCCGATCCCACTACTACACGAACTAGCACCTAAGCCTTTTCCACCATTCCTAAATTGTGCGTTTAGAGCCAGCGCGTTTAATTCTTTAGGAAGGAGTGGCGTTAGACATTTGATAGAATTGGACATTTCGATCATTCGCTATGTCGTCCTGTACAAGTAGGTAGCTGTAGGTACCCTGGCACGCTTCGCTGTTACACATTGTAGTTGCATTGATGAGAAAATCATAAAAAAAACTAATGTGGAAAATAGATAAACCAATATATACAGTGGTTAGTTTCATCATCAGCCTATCGCAGTCTACTGCTCTCTAGGCATAGGCATATGCCATATGCCTCTCCCATTGCACTACACTTAGATCGATTTTGGGCTTCTCGCATCCAACCCCTGCCAGCCATGATCATTGATCTTGTGCTTAGTTTATCGTGGCAAAATTTGAGCTAAATCGGTGCAGAACTTTTTGAGTTTTTTAATCGTACTCAAACCACCTTAACATGTTTATGTATAAATATATATATAGATTGAACATGTGCTGACAATACTGTGAGTTTAGAATAAATAAAAATTTAATAATAGAATAGAACAGACAGGCGATCGCTTAATAGTAACTATTAGTACTTAAGAAAAAGTTGAAATATATCAACATATTTGCCTAATTAGGGTTTCGTTTTCAATTATGATATAATACTATAAGTTCAACTAAGTAAGCAGTAATAACAGCTCAATTTTTATATTTGTAAAATTAACCAAATAAAATTAATCTATACTTACATCTATACTCTATATAAATAAATGTTTGTTAAATAAACTAATAGGTTTTTTCTCATGATCACACGGTTATTTTCACGGTACTTATGACTAAAAACCAGATTAATAATTATTTGGCTGTCTGTCTCTCTGTCTGTCTGACTGTCTATTTGTTTCGGATAATCTTTTTTTATTTTTTTTTTGATTTGATAATAGGT